GTATTACAGTTACATAGTTATCATGAGTATGGACCACTGTTATCTGAGAACATTGAGGAGCATACCCGTACATCTCTGTCTCAACATTCAGACTGACTCAATTTTAAGTTGACGCCGTCTTCTCCAAAGTTGATGATGTGTTTCAGTGCGCTCAGGAGAAGCGAGTCAACCTCACTGTCGGGGTCGATCTCTTCATGGTAGTTCTTCACAGGGAAGATGCAGTTCATGGGAATACCCACTTCTGCACTGAATTGCTCCATCTAGGTGGAAAAAAATCACAGCATCTCAGTTCACAGATTACTTTGTGCTCACTGCACCAATCCGATCGTTTGGAATACTACATCATCCTTAAAGTACATGATGCACTGGCCAAACATGATCAATCTGAAGGCAGTGGCGGGCCTGTACTGTACAGCCGCCTCTGCAGCTTCTCTCCCAGCACTGTTTTTCTTGGCTCGTGTGGAGGTGAGTGGCGATGAACAAAGACTAAACTACAGTGCACTACATAAATAATTATGAGTGCCGTTTTTTTCACTTGAGCCCCTGCCCAACAAAATGTTTGTGCACATCCCTGGTACCCCGAGGTTGGGTTATAAAGTCAGTATAGGGAGAAAAAAAGTCAGACAGTGCTCAAATATTGAAACCAAATTCATAATATTACCTATTCAACATACCTTTTTCTTCAGGGACTTGCTCTTGTAGACGTTCTTTAAATCTTGTTTGATTTCACGACAGGCCTCATCAATTTTGGTGAGGATGGCCACTTGAGGAATTCCTGCCAGGAGAACACAAAACTACTGAATCATGTAACTGACCACAGCTGCTGTTCTCTGTGATGATGGAAACTACAAACAGCTGCAAGAGGAGAGTGTTTGAGAGTCAGAACATTTGGAGCAGAGTACCAATCAGTGTGATCTATTAAAACCCAATAAAGAGAAGAATAATCAGAGATTTGTGCGCTCACCCAGGTTGGTGGCTTCCATCCTGATGTTCTGAATCTTCTGCACAGTTAAATCTGCATCTCCACTTGTCATCAGAGACACTGACTTGGCATCAAAGACACAAACCAGAATGTGCACTTTGTCGTTGACAGTTGGAGTTGTGTTGTAGAACTGATCACCCTCTGCCAACGGTGATTTAGGTTTGAACTGGAAAACAAATTGAAACCCAGTTAATTGTTGTAATACAGTACAGTTACAGTTGTAATATATAAAAATAATTCAAAATAATCATATGAGCTATTTTGTGGGAAAAGTCTGCAAAGATTGTAGCATCTGTACCCTGTAACCGTCCTTCACATGTCCCTTCAAAGCCAGTTTGATGTCGTCCACTTGGACACCATTGGTTGGTTCCAGACCCATGATGTCACTGAAGACAAAAGGGTAAAAGGACTGTGGACTTTCTTTTTGGATCTTGTAGGTTGCGTACTGTAAAGCACATATGGAGAAAAGGGCAGTTAATATATTATTACCACTATAGAGCAAACATAGACACATCAATACCCAACAGTTCTCTGTACTGTCTGTAGTTGGCGCTCATCCCGCTGGTGGTCGTAGACAAAGCTCTTAAGTGCTGCGATGCTGTGCAGTGAGTAAACCTCACTGTCCGACACCTTAAGAGACGCACTGGCGACCGATATTAGTGCCAATGGGTTTTACTCTCCTCGTCAGCGTGTCCGCCTCCCGTACCCGAGGTCGCCGGTTCCAGTGTGGACTCTGCAGTACGTTCTCGGGAGCAGTCAGTTACACGTGTGCGCATGAGGGATAAACCCACTAGTGATTCAGAAAGCATCGGTAGTTGATGCAAAAATTTGCTAGTGAATAATAGGTGGGTTATACAGTCACTGACTTTACTTCACTGGTTTAGGCAACAGTAGGATGGTTAGGGTAAGGTTAAGGAGCTTCAGGGGCATTGAGCGAACTAGATGAGAACAGGCTGTCATTTCAGTTTCAAAGAAATATGTACATTAAAACCTTCATTGGATAACTATGACCTGGATGACTGAGAATCTTCATAGACATCTTACATTAAAACCCCAAGAACGAATTTTAAACTAAGCTACAAGAAATATAGCATGATGCTACCTGCCACAATGATGATGCTTAAAAAAATTATCTGCCATGACAGCAAACGGTGTATAAAAGGCTCTGACATTTCTGGGTGCCTCCCGCTTTAAGACTCTTCTTCTGTGGTTACGGTAGGGGAGGTGGGTAGCTAGTGTGTTGGCTATAGTGGGAACGGAAACTTTTTCAAGTTCAACGAGCATAGTTTAGCCCACGTACCTGTGACGATTAGCATGTTTATTTCTTCCTGAATGATCCAGCTTCCAATATTCCGTGTGTTGAGTTAATGACGAAAAGTAAGTGACTGTAACTTTGTTGTGTTTGTTTCTGTATTGTAGAGTTAACATGCATTCACATGTGGCCAGCGTGATGAGTGAGATTTCTAATGTTAGCACAATGTTCATGCTGTAAAACAATGCAGGAAAAAATAAGTTAACTGGTGTGAGCCTTCTGATGTCTAAGTTACGCAGTGACACCTATAACATTGAATTAAGGAGTGTTCGTATCGTGTTCATTAGACCATGTGCAGATGCTATTGTGTAGTAGCCTCGGCTAGCCAGAGGGTGTCGCCATTGCTCCTTATGTGAACCCCCTTGCAATGCAATCTATGATGTAAACTGGTCAGTGAGATACGTGAAGCTCCTTATGTCTTTCCAAGGAGTAATATCCACATTTATGTAATTGTAAACTTATGTTTAAAGGGGAATTGCAATTTTTTGATATGTTAATGTTGGATGATTTAATTACATTATGTATGTGGATTTATTATTCACGTTGCATGGTAATTTAAGTACCTAATGGTGATTTATTTGGTTTCATACAGACTATAATGACAAAGATGGATATTGGAATGTTCTGATGAGTACTGCTGGAGCTCAATACAGTTAAAGGAAGAAATTACATCTCCTCGTCTTCATTCCTGTGTCCTGACCGATACACCATCCTGTTCACTAGCTTAAAACCTTGATGAACTAGCCCTACCTAGTTGCCTCAGTAATAAACGGCATGAAAGTAGTCTTATTTACAAGTGACGTCCACCCCAGTAACTCAGGATGGGGAAGTTAGAATCAATGTTTTCCCCACACACTCTTTCCCCTTTGTCTTTATAGGTAATGGGATAGTGCCACAACTTCAAATCGGTCAAAAACTTTTTGGTGTTTCGGTTACACATGAAGCTTAAGGCGTCCTCAATCTGGTGATATTCTTCATTTGACACCAGCGCTGTGTATTGAAACAGTGTGCTTCAGACGAGTGAAAGAAGCTTTGGAGCTTAGGTCTCATTGGCCCATCTCTATCGCATATTCAGACGGCTTTCCTGACCGTTCACCATCAGCAGATGGATTTTATGACTGATGTTTTTTATGTATTCTAAAATCAAATATCTACTCTCACAAAGTCCTGTAATTGCTTTGCCACAGCGTTTTTTCTGACGACAGAAAAAAGAAGGCGCTTTGTATTCTTTGGTTGAAAATATATAATGATTAAAGTAATAATAACAAAAATACAACCTATTATTGTAAAGTTTTTATTAGGGAATACTGAATTTGTGATCATTTCTTTATAAACACAATGAAAAGTTCTTCATACCTTTTTGGTGAAACTGTCGTGAGAGATGCTGTCTGCCAAAGCCAGTGTGCAGGATCTGCCATGCATCGTAGTTTGAACAGAGTTGATGAAACTGGACTTTCCAGCTCCAGCCGGCCCATGAACAAGAATCCTGAGCTCCAGGCCTTTAATCTGGGGTCTGTAGTCCTTCACATACTGCAGAACACTCTGTTTGTCTCTGCGCAGGCAATCAGAATCCGGTTTATTGCCAAGCACATTTTCACATGCAAGAAATTTGCTTTGATATACTGGTGCATAACAATTAACATTGAGGAAATAAGAAACAGGTTGAAACGAGTTGTGCAAAAATCAAGAAACATAAATATAAGAGGAGGAGGAAGATTTACATCACTATTTGGACCAAAACTAAAATAACATGCATAAACAGGTTAGTTAATTAAAATAATAATTAAGGTTGCAAGCAGCATTGGACAGGCCCTCGCACCGTGACGCGTTGCCGGAGATCATCGACGCAGCTGTGAATTATCATGCACTTTGGTAAGTTGGTAAGTAAATTACTCAAGTAACAGCTAACTTCTACTTATTAGCTCAGTTAGCTGTCATATTTACTTCATAAGGTACTGGAACTGGGAGCTCGGAGCACTCGGGGAGTGTTAGTGTTTCCACCTCTAATGTTACTGAAGACCTGGAGGTTTTCAGGTCAGGGAAACTGAGACAGTTTTGAAGTGGGTGTGGCCACCCTGCTAGGAGTAGTTCATCACAGCAAGAAATTCATTTCCTGTTTCTACTGCCAAAGTTGGCATATATATGTGTTCAGGGCATTTTCTGAGCTTGCTACTCTTACACAATGAAAACATGACTTGAATATTCCGTGATCATCTTCAGCCTCGGGGAAAACAACTTGCGCTGAGTGGGACTGAGTGGACGAGTACAACAGAACGACGACAGCATTCAGAGACTCACTACTACTGCTAATGGGCTGCTATAGATTAAAAAGTATAGTAAGTATAAGTATTTACCATTTTGTATCTGAGGTAGAATATCTTAGCTAATACAGCTCGTGCAATGGCTGATTGTTTGCTGGTTTTCGGTTTTGTTGGTAAAATTATTTATTACATGAAACTGTCAAATGTGCATATCTAACGTTAGCTACAAATCTGCAAAACAGGCTGGTTTTAATTAGCTAACTAGCTGATGCTATCATAGCTAGGGCTGCTTTTAATACAGAAAAATAAGGGACACCTGCCGGAGCGCGGGGCCACACCCCTTGGGGTCCCAGCAACAACAGGCCCGATGGTGTGCCAGTGGTGGTATATGATAACTTAAAAACATGTTTTCAGGAAAGTATTAAGATTGATACCAATGGACGTTATAATAAGCTATCTGCTATTGAAATCAGAGTGACCAGATGCAAATGTACTTTTTTTTTGTACTTGTCACATACACGTTGCGATATTCATCCTCTGCATTTAACCCATTCCTCAAGGGAGCAGTGGGCAGCCGCTGTGCAGCGCTTATGTAAGTGTCTGGTCAATACACTGACTGAAGAAACCTGACATGTGAACTCCACACAGAAAGGCCGGGGCGACCGGGATTTGAACCCATGACCTTCTTGCTGTGAGGCCACATATTTAGCAATGTCTTATTTTTTCTTTTGTGAAATTTCAAAAGTACGCTTAAATTCACATGACAATTGGAGGGGAACATGGCTAGTATTACATGTCCGTGCAAAACAGTGCGCAATATCGTTACAAGGATTAAACGAAGCCTCCATGCTCAATGCTTTTTATCGTTTCAATGCCTTCCTGTTTCATGGTGAATCATCAATTTTTTAAGCCACACCACAGACACGCCCTTTGACAAAAACTCATATTCTTTTATTAATTCTCTAGGAGGAGTTTGTTAAAGGAGAGTGTGTAAATCATCATATTACCACTATATTGAAAATGACTTCCTGTTGGGAACACTATGGGGCGCTAGAGAGTCATTTGGCCACGCCCATGTGGGAGATGCTAAAATACATCATTTTCGCATGTTTTGTGCTCAGGACCTTAAAATTCCCATGAAAAGTGCTATTTGCTTCCTGATATTTATGTGTTTCCTGTTAAAACACAAAGCTAGGGAGGGACTTGTTGCAAATATTGATTGATGTTTGTAGTAGCCAATAGCACTGAATGTGCGTTACGCCCTCACCCCATTTTGCAGACTCTGTGCGGACTAGTTCCAGCTCCCGCCAAGTGAACACGGCAGGCAGGACCAAACCACAGGACCAAACACATCATCTGAGACCGACTGAGGCCAGTTTGACGAGAGCGAATACAGTACCAAGGTTTTCTTGCCAGGTGTGGGTGTTGGAATCCCGGGACAAGAGTCAGCTATTAGGTCCACTAGCAGCCCAGCTAATGTTAACCAAGCTAACTAGCTACAGATGCAGACAGATCATTAGCAGCATTTAACGGTTTAGCAAAAACTAAAGCTATCTGTCCATCCTGAAGCTCTATAAATCACCTCGGTACTGGATTCTCTGTCGGTCGTTGAGGTTTTGTTTGGTCCTGTTCAGGGACGTCCGTTCCGGAGCCGCTACCCGCCATCGCTCCCTGCTGGGTCCCCTGACCCTGGTCATAAACTTTACAAACACCCCAGGCTGAAAACCCTATATGGCTTGAGTAACATTAGAAGTGTAATGGTAAACACTAACACTCCCCCAGTGCTCCAAGCTCCCAGTCAAAGGCAGAGCCGGCTAATATGAGCGCTAACTGAGCTAACTAATTGCAGCCAATAGCAGTTAGCTGTTACTTTAGCAACAAGTTATGCTATCTGTTCATCAGCGATCACAGATAGTTGAAGCAGGACAGCCGGGGGACATCAGGGGGAGAACCAGAAAATATTGTTCGCAATCAAATTTGATCCAGTTTCAACTAAATCAGTTAATAAAGATTTTGTTTTTGAACAGTAATCAGTGAGGTCCGGTGGTCGGCCCCCAATTAACGCTACACTCCGGTGGCGTTATAAAAATGAGAAAGCTTCTCATTGGACGCTGAATTAGCACATGCCCCCGAGTGCAGGATGAGTCATCAACATTTTAAAATTGACTCAAACTCTAAAATACCATCAAGAATACCTACAAAACAACGTTTTTTTTATCATTGTTGGTCCAGATGCTGGTGGATTGGAGACAATAAAAATAAACAAACATCGATTTGATTTCATGAAAATGAGACACACTCACCCCCAGTTTATTTGCCTCCATGGCTTATCAAGGACTGACAAGTACAAGACAAAATATTTGATTACTGACATCATGATACATCATGTGACTAAATAATTTAAATTTGTAAGTCAGCTTACGTGGAGCTGGAGGTGGATCTGCAGAGCCGAATATTTCCTTCAGAAAATTCAACATTGCTGGAAAGTAAAACATTTACTCTGAGTTCACATTTAAAGATCATTTTGTGTTTGCCTTAAAACCAAGTGACTTTGCTGAATGTCATAATCTTAATGTTATTTATTACATTGTAAGTTTACAATAAATAACTTTTGCAAATTATTTTATTGAATGTGCTGCAGCAGAAAACAAAACATCTGAAGCTGAACATTATAACAGAAGAACTAAATGCTTCTAGAAACACTTCTGTTTACAACAATCATATCTACTCTGATTAACAGTTTTACAAGCATAAACAAAATCACTGGACATCATAGACACGTCTTACCTTTTGTGTGCAGGGACAGAGTCAAACAATGTGATGCGGCTGATGCTAGAATCACCTCTGCTTACAGTCCCCAGTAAAAACCGAGTGTGATCGATAAACCACTCCCTGTTTTTTTTTTCACTTTCACTATGTATGAAAGACGTGACTTACCAGAAGCCCCATTAGCTTCAGTTTACTTTCAGTTTCTGTTTTTCTGATGTTATCTCCCGGAAGATCCTGATATTCTCACAGCTCTGCAGACAGATTTGATAATGTGACATATTCATGAGTTTATTCTGTTCCTTTGTGTTTTTAATTTTATTTTATGAGGCAGCACCATTCACTTTATGTTTTTAACACCACTGAACAATGTGTCACACTGACTGTGAGCCACTGCTTATACTATCTACTATTCTTATTCTTCTTTAATGGTCTTTAAAATTGGATTGAGATACATTTGAATATTTCAGATTTAATCAAATTCATTTCTACAGATTGAAAGGGAACAGAATTGATGGTTAGAGGCAGGGATGGACTGGCACAAAAGCACGTGTCTCTGGGTCTTTAGAGACCTTTTATTCCTGCATTCTTGAGAATTTAATGAGAAATGAGCAGAGTGACACTGATTATTGATTAGTTCAAGTTTAAGTTTGTTTATTGGCATTGATCAACATACCAAGTAGCTTATAGTCCAAAAATTAACAAAATGCCGTTTCTCACAGTCCGATGTGCTAAAAATATGGTCACAGTGGCCTAATTCAACTTACAAGACTCTGTATTAAAACAGAGCTGCTGGCCAGCCAACATGAAGAATGGCCTTTGTTTAATGCTGCCGTCATACAGTCATTAAATTAAATCAAGTTACTGTGAATCTTTTGTGATTTTTATCAAAGCTGTAAAGGAAACCTGGAAAACTCTCCAGATGGAAGCACCTCTCCAGGCCACAAAAACAAGACGGTAATATAGAGTAACTGACACTAGAGACAGAGCTGAACTTTTACTGTCAGGAGTGAGCATGGTGGGACTGGAGCGTTATGAAGTGTGTATACTTACAGTATCAAAAGTAACAGGTCTCAACTGCTGAAATTATTTGATTTAAAAAATAAAAACTAGGAGCTCCGTGAAAGTTTCAGTTCAGACACGTTTTTATTTGTTGACGGATAAAAAGAGATCATTCTTCATCTGAAACATGAATCCAGACTCTCCTCAGCTGATCTGGATCAGTTCCATTCTCACTTTCAAAATTAATGTTAAAAAACTCGTGTTGAGTTCAAAGAGTTTTTTTCCAAGAGGATAAATCAGCAACTGAAGATGTGATCCTCACCCCTTTAACACTTTTACTAGTTATTAGCAAAGTAATGATATTAGTATGAAGTTAGAACTGAGGTCAGCAATGTTGGAGAAACTAGCGAGTCCAAAAGCAGCAACACTGAGTAACTATTCTGAGAATTATTCTGTTGATATTTTAAAACTTGTTTTCAAGCTGCTCGAGCCTGAATGTGTCCGGTTTTCTAAGAGAACAGTCTCAGCCCTGTGTTCCCAGGGAACTCCTGTAAGAGATGAGCTGACTTTGCTGTTCAAACAACAAGAGAACAGTTTGAATGGTTAAATCTGTTCAGCCACTGTGAAGATATCAATGTCTAAAGTCAAGAGAACTGTCTTGTCCGCAAATTTAAGAGCGCAGGTTTCAAGGAGTCAAACACCAGTAGGATGTACTGTAAGTTGTAGGTGAGTGATTTCAACATTCGGACCCAGAGAAACACACACTGAACATTTGACCCATGTAAAAAACATTGCTACAAACTGTGACAGTTTGGCTACAGGTTACTTTGGGGTGCCAGTCAGCTTTCTCTCTTGACACAGTAGATATTTTTGATTGTATCTCAGAATAATGTATATTAACCCACCAAAAGGACACACAAGGATACATACACAACATTATGGACCCTCCCGTTGAATGCAAGAAAATGAACAATAATGAAAAACCACAACTTGATAATGATATGCAATCAAAGGCAAACGTGGATTTGAAAAACAAACAATAAACACAACTTAAATTTCCACTTGGGGTTCAGTTCTATTCAGAAGCAGTTCAGTTCATTGCAATTCAAACACAGTTCAGTTCAATTCTTCAGAAGCAAGAAAGAAAAACTGCCCATCAAATAATGAAAGGTTGCTTCTAAAGGTTTTTTCTGCACTTACGACCTGCCTGGCTCTAATGGATTCTGGACCGGTTTGCTGACGGCGGTTTTAGTATGGTGGGTGGCTGGTTGTTGGGAGGTTATTGCTGAGTTGAAGATGAAGAAGGTTTTGATGTATGGAAACATTGTAGCAGATGAACGTGGAAAGGATTAACGCCTTACTATAACTGATTGTATCTAAACATCTTTTCTTTCCTCAGCTCTCCTCTTTCGTCCAACTGCCCTCGCTCCCAGGCACACACCAAACATTTTAGCACTTCCTGCTTCCAGAACTGGGCGGACTCTGGCGTTGAACAAATAGGAAACCTCCTACAAAGAGTAATGCATGGCTGCATGAATGGGCGGCGCTCCTAGGCAAGGCAAGGCAAGTTTATTTGTATAGCACATTTCAACAACAAGGTCATTCAAAGTGCTTTACATAAAACATAAAAGCAACAGGGAATTAAAGCTGCAAGCAGCGTTGGGTAGGCCCTCGCACGAGGTTGCGCGTCCGGGTATGAGCTGTGAATTTGCTACGCAGTTCAGACGCTGCATGAAGGTGTTTTATGTCACTTCCTCTGTCCCCTTTGTGGAGCTACATAGCACTTGCCGCTATGAATATAAATCGGTATTGGCGTGTAGATGTCTTTGGGGTGGGAGAGTTATCAAGCACGTAAAGTTTTGTTCAGATGTGAGCATGTACTCTGAAGTTACAACAACTTCCTGTGTCATGGCGAAGAGTTGATCTTTGACGCCACGCCACATTCATCGACGAAAACTCACAGATAGCACAACTTTTCATCGTCAATGCCTTTAGAGGGCACAGCAGAAATTTGAAATCGATCGGACTAAATCCCTAGGAGGAGTTCGTTAAAGTACCGAGTGTGTAAATTGCCAAAAATTACCATTAAATCCAAAATGGCCGACTTTCTATTGGGATTAGGGCATCGCTCCAAGAGTCACTTCCTGTTGCCAGCAGGTGGCGCTATGACTGTGGGTGAATGTCAGCATGTACATGTGTTCAGGGCGGGACTCTCATCCTAGATGTACAGTTTGGTGCAGATGTGAGCATGTACACTGAAGTTACAACTTTATATATTATATTGCATTTGTGTCAATAGATCCTCCTAAATAGAGGAGGAGTTTGTTGCTCTCAAGAGGAGATCTAAGATGGAGCACATGTTGGCACAATGGCATCCTGGCTCAGGCTAAATCTACATCTGTCCTCTGCAGAGGCTCTATCCGTAAACTGGAGGAGGAACTAGTATACATGTGTTACGGGATTGCGTGGTGTGGGGACAGAGAGGACCCAAATGCAATGTTCGGAGGGAAGGAGGTTTATTGAGGGAGAAAGGGGTAGAGGGACTGGAGGAAGAGGTGGATGTCGGGAAAGCACAGGCACGGGGAACCAAGGAGACAGGGGGCCAGGGAGCCGGGGAACACTGGGGCCGAGGAAGCGAGGAGAGGCGGAGGAACAGGGAGGACGCCGTGAGGGAAGTCCGAGGAGGAGAGGGCCGGTGGACGAGGGTGAGTGTACCTGGGAGGGAAACAGACAGAGAGACAGGGTTAGGGATGACAGTGACAAGGCACAGGGAAAATGCGAAAAAACAAGAAACATGAAAGCCTGAACATGGGGAGGGGCACCGGGTATGGAGCAACGACGATCAAGCGAGGATGGTGTGGAGAACCGGGGTTGAAATACAGGCAGGCATGAGGTGATTACTGGCAGGTGTGGCAGGCTGACGAGGTGGCTGATGAGATGCAGGTGCAGGTAGTTGGCTGGGCTCAGGAGCAGAGGGAGAGAGAGAGCACACAGGGGAGAAAACACAGGGAGGCAGGCAGAGAACAGAAAACCAAGGAAAAAGCAGAAAAACTGATAAAAAGGAGAAAAAACCAGGACACTCACCGTCAGCCAGGCTGCCACCACAACATACATGAGTGTATTAGTTGAATATTATAACGTTAAATAAAGAGTATAATGTTCATTTATTAATATAAGTCTTCCTCTTATGTAACTTACAAACATTAACATGTGTCTCGTCTTGCAGCTTGTTGAACCAAACAAACGTTCACACCTCTGCAACATGTTCACCATCATGGATGTGTCACTTCGGTCTGGTTAGATGCTGGTGTGGTTCTGACTCTTCAGGACCACCAACATTACTCTGTCTGCCCATGACCTGCAGCTACAGGCTGTTGTTTAGTTCAGTCTAGTGTAACATCATCTAACAGTAGGGGGGCACTATAAATTTCTCAAGAGCAATTTTTGAAGGGGACACAAATAATATAGCCAAAATTGTACTTGTATAGGATAAGTGTACACAGAGGGAAGTCTTACTATTATTTCTCTGGCCAACAACACAAAGAAATAGTTGTTTACATATTACTTAGGTTTATGGGTTCACCATGCAGTAGTTTTATCCTAATTAACTTGCGTCCTCTACATCGTAATTTAGGTTTCTTCTGGGACAGAGGACCTCTCTTACTTAGATATTTAACTGCAGCAGGCCAACTGATCTGCCACATAACATCATAATGTGCAAAACCCAACACAACAGTAGATCTACGGTATTTGCCTAATATCAGTTCACACACAGGCTTATCGCTGTACTAGCTGTAGAGATGCACAGATTACGTTTTTCCTGGCTGATTCTAATTACTGACTTCTTAAAGGTCTGACCAATTTTGTAACTTTTTATTGGAAAAATGTGTTTTCATTAGGCTCCCCATCAGCACCAGTATAGATGTTGGCTATTCTCACTGGGGTCCATTCAATTGTATGGTCATAATGATTATGATTGATTATTAAATAACTAATAATAATTAGTAATTAAATAATTTGCATTTTCTTTGGAAGGAGCTGTTATAGCCTATAATGCAACAGAAAATAAATAACAGTTGCCTATGAACTTGGCCATGTTAAAATATATTTTTACTTAAAAACATTTGAATGAATACATTATCCTATTTCCAATCTCACCATTTTTGTTCTACTTAAT